ATATATTTTTGAATTTTCTCAATATGTTTTGTTTAAGATCTTTAGTGTTTGGTACAGCAACATCTGTTACGTTGGTTGTTTTAGTTTCTTTTATGGTCAATGTGACGTCAGGTCTGTTATGATTAACTGTTTTGTCTGTAATTTTGTCTCTATCCCAATAAANCAGTGAGGTAATAAGAAAATTGAAAAACAAAAATTAGAACATAGGGACGAGTATTCCTGCCAGTGTTGTTAATCACAATAAAAACAAAACTCACATGAGTATTCCGAATATTTAAAAGTGCAACGTCATTGTTTTACCGAGGACCATCAATCTAGTTCACCAAGTTTAATTAATTAGCCAAAAAAATTTTAAACAAACTGATGGTTGGATCAAAGAAGAAGCAACTAACTTTATGTTTACATATATAATTTTGACAATCACTTAAGTTAAGACCAGTATTTTTTGCATGTATGTGTGACTAATTAACATGTATATATTATATTAATAATGTTTTGTAATTGTCTCAAGAAATAGTGACGAAACGTCGCGAATTGTTTTTTCAATTTTGTTTCTCCAATACCCATAATCCTTATCGTTATCTCGGCTAAAGAATCTTTCAAGCGGCTATTCGCGCGATCCAAAATCTATTTGAATAAGTATATTAATAAGTATGTATGTGTTAGTGTATAAATAGACTATTTTTGTACGACATGCTATCCTAAATTGACCCGTATTACAGTATTCTTCTTTACGTGGCCTATTGTCGTATGAGTTTTAATTACATATTTGAAATTAAAACGGATGACTTAGGCTGAGCGATTCAATTAGCAAAATTGTTTTTACAAAAGAAGCATGTAGCCTGCTATCCTGTGAATTGCATAAGGTTGTGCTGATGACAGCACCGTATAACATCCGCCAGAAACAAAAGCGTCTCTGGTCGATAATGGCGACATAACAAGTGGTAATTCTCACATGGCTACGTATGCCCACAATAGTTTATGGCTTACATTACAATCGACAGCCATTTACCCACGGAATCTATTAAGTAAGTCGTTACTATTTATTGTATTTGCAACAATCACCCGACGTTTTTCATTCGCATTTTTTGATGCAACGACAAAATAAATTAATTAGGTCTTTGTTTATAGTATGCAATCATGAATGTACGTAGTAGCAAGTGGACAGCGAACTAATTAATTCTCTGCGACGGTAATATTTTAGGGGAGACAGTTTTTACTCCCTATAAAATAAAACTAATTCCACGTAAATGTCATGTAGGTAGGCATTTGTGTGATCAAAACAATATTAGTCAAAGAGAAAATAAGTGGCTATGATCACACAATCTTTTTAAACATCATTAAGCATGTATAAACATTAAAACGTTTATATATTCCTTTACAGTGATAATTTCCCTTCTTATAACCGTTATTCATATATAATTTTTTTAAAAATAATACCTAAAATAACTGATATACAAAATCATTCTTTCAGTACAATTACTCTTAAAATGACTCGCGATTATTATGTCTTTCTAGTTTAATTCGTTTGTTGGTAATTCCAGCGAGCACAGATTTAATACCTGGGTTTCTCGCTTGACGCATCGTTGATATCTTTTACTAAGGCGAACATTCATTCGTATAAATGGTTTAATAAAATTTATTTAGTTGTTCCTTCTTGTTTAACCCTTTTATCACTCAAGTATCTCACCGATTACCCCTTAATAATTGTAAAAATTTTATTGTTTGAAACAGTTTTTCGTATAGGAAATTAAGGTTAAATAAACTGCCTTACTGGGCAGGGAATTAGTGTGCGCCTGGTCGCATGGTCATTGCTAACGACTAATAAGAGAATTAATTACACAGGGGGCGGATTTATGTGCATGTTTCAGCATTACTGTCGAATCCCTATCGTTAAAATCGTAAAGCATAGCCGACTAAGAAACCGTTAACTACTATTTTACTCTTGTTTGTTGTTTGTTAGACCAGCGAACCATTACATTAATAGCGTCCACAGCTAGTTGTTGTTCGATTCGTTAGCTGGTTGGGTGGAGTATTCGTTGTTAATATAATACCTTATTATGATACCGATGTAATTTCGAAAAGATAAAAAAAATGTTGTCTTGTATGGTGTCCCTACCTTATCAGGAAACACTAACTGTTTTCCTTTTATGCTAATGACTTGCGTAATGTTGCGTATGTTAAACTTGTAGTTCAAAGTATAGCTTACAAGAAATAAATTTAAATATTATTATATTTACACCCGAGAAGGTCTAATCAATCTACTACAAAGAAATAATATTAAAGTTAAACAAATAAAAAATTGCTTGTCGTAGTTAGAATCAGAACTTTATTATATGTTACATACGAATAAAAAAGACAATTTCGTTTTGTTAATTTCATGATAAGTAACGCACTTATTCTTATAAATGTCAAAGTATCTATTTTGTTTGTACACATAACATCGGTTAAATACCGTTATTGATCCTTGATCTGTAGCACCTTTTAAGAAACTCGTCAAATTTCGTTTGTTGATTAATTCAAATAAAATACAATCGGAAAGCTTCATTAATCTGTTTTCCTAACCCCACAATTGTTTCGATTTTATAGAATCATTTTCAAGAGTATGAGAGAGAGGAAGCAATTTTTAGTAATACAGACTTCGAATCGTAGACTAGATATATCTGCTCACTTGTAAGATATTGTACATATAAAGTAAATTGAACGCACCTAAGACGTAATTCTATTAAAAGAAGTAACACAAACTGGGTTGAGTAAAGTTGAGAGAAATATAAACGTATCTACCATATAAATTATTAGCTTTTACCCGCTGTAACGATTTTAATTAAGGAATATTTCCCTGTCAGATTTAGATTACCTACGAAGTTTGCTGAGCGGCTAGTGAAGAACTCAGGTGAACATTTAAACAATTCGCGGCATTCGCAGCCCGGATGTTTACATATAAAATGCATTTCTCGCTACTTGTCTGTCAGAATAAAAATCTTAAGCGGCAGCGGTCTGATTTATTCAGACAGTAGCTCGCGTCAATTTCGAGACCATTTGTATTCTTCAGTATTGCCGGAAAATGAGAGAAAACAAGACCTACTATTCGTTCTTGCAGCAATTAGAGAAGTTGCAGATACCTGATAACTGTATTTATTCTAGTTGTTAGTTAGGTAGATAGATATAAAGGCTTGTTAAAGATATCGAAGTAGAGTAAAGTACAGTGGAACTCGAATATAACAAACACTGGAACGACTGCAGAATTCGTTTGTTATATGCGATTGCTCATTATATACGACCAGATCAAGCATTAATATGCATACTTTGTACATGAATAACAAATAAATGTGTAATGTACACATCTATTTATAGCACAGTCTATTTGTTCCCCAAGTAGGACCAAATTTGAATAATATCTAAACGTTTGCAATCTCTCCTTATATCATGTACGATTTATTATAATAAAACAAGAAGTAAATGCGTGTTATTAATCTCACATAAAATTATATATTGCAGTATTGTTCATAAAGTCAAAAATTTAATTTGGAAATGAGAAATTTTTCAAATGTTTAAAAACAGTGAGGTAATAAGAAAATTGAAAAACAAAAATTAGAACATAGGGACGAGTATTCCTGCCAGTGTTGTTAATCACAATAAAAACAAAACTCACATGAGTATTCCGAATATTTAAAAGTGCAACGTCATTGTTTTACCGAGGACCATCAATCTAGTCCTTGTTTTTTACGTAAAAAGACAAACTGATCTGGGAAACGCCATCAGATGTTTCTTCTTCGTCTCCCAGCAATAATAAATAGTCGTGTGCGTAGTCCGCAAATGTCTGTCCATCTGAGCCCGAGTAGTATTAGCTGAAACATAAACATCTCTGCGTCGTCGTTTGTTTTTGGTTTTATTCCTAATGGTCCATAGAAAAGGAGCTATCAATTTGTATTATGCTGCGTATCCTGCCCAGTATCCGCCGTCATATTTCCTGCGCGGCCGAGAGAACGACGGCTATCGCTTTCCACAACTGGACGATTTACCGAGTCGTGCGTGCATTCTTGCAACTGAGAATCTTACTAGAATTATACAGTGGCGTACTATTTTGTTCTATTGTTCGCAATATCAGATTTTGACAGAATACATTATTAATTCCCCGCTGTATATTTTCCAACTCTCTGTTATCTACGTTGTTTTAACATTGTTCCTATTCATCAATTCGTTTCGCTCAAAATTCAGTTTCTTTTAATGTCAGCTTTTTTCAAATAATACTTTCTATCAGAATTAAAATCTTTTGTTTCGATTTCGAGAACGGTTTCTTTTGTGTCTATCATGAAGTCATGTATTGTGATGTGCAAGTGCATTGAGGACTCAAAGCGATTAATGTTATTATCCCATAAATGTTTAAATTTTCCCTCGGAAATGGGTTAGGTGGTGGAATCTTAGACTATCGTGTCTACCAGAGTCACCCCCATTTGTAATGATCAATGAAGCTTGTCATCCATAATATTTAGGAAGGAACTCCTACACTCCATCCCCTTTGTTTAGGTACATATTCGAGTTTATTTTAAGTTATAATTTTTAGTTTCTAAAAAGATATCATAGATTCATATAATTCAAAGACAGATTCATATGATCCAAAGAGAGATCATGTAATTCAAACACAGATCACATAATGCAGACAGCTAAGATAGTTTCAAATCAAGCAAGTTCGATGTACATAGTGCATAGGGTAAATTAAGGTGTACAGTAGATGTAAATTCAATATAAAATTCCAAACAAGTTAAATGTCTATGCGTTCTTATCTCAATAACTGATAGCACCGCTAATAAGTTTTGGTGGTGCCGGTATATACCTGGCTGGATATATGCAGAAAATATCAGGGTAAATCATTATCATTACAATTATCACAATAGCCACTCATTGATAACAAATATCGATATATTTAATCTTTAATTTATTTGATTTCTCGATTAAGTTATTATAAAACAGTAGCAAATTTTAACAATGAGGGTGTAGCTTTAAATTTTGACAAAACTGTTGTGTTAAGGGTTTCCAGGACGCCCCTGAGATCGAATTTGTTCGTTGTATAATGTATGTCTACTTTGGAGTGACCATTGCGTTCTGTCCATGTGCCCATTTTGGTCATCGCGTCGACTGTTGTTGATAATTTGCTAGCAATTCGTTTGGCATCCGGGATGGATTGCTTCGGACATGATAGCATCGCAGCAACGGCAATTCTACAACGACCATTACCGTGGTTTCCTAAACCGTCCGTGGCAAGTGTAACGGCTATCGATCCCTTTCATGGTACCCACCTTCTAAATTTGTTCAGTGTTATTGCATTTTCTCCAATCTTCACACTCGGCCAAACACTAACGATCTCCACTCGGTCCAAACGGTTTTGCATCTCTGCATTTTACTTGAGTACCTTGTGTATGCATGTAGATCGGTGCACATTTCATCGGACAAAAACAGAGAGATATCGCGACGAGAAATAAAGCTATCGATGTGAACAGGTACTTGGTTCGAATAACTTCACTTATCTTCGCTGCAATCTGTATTAGGTTTCTAATTCGAATGATTATCTAAGCAAACGTTAAAAAAGTATACGCCAATAAATCCTGCTGCTAGATTTTAAATCATTTGACTTTCTCCGGATACAATGTATTCCCGATACTTTGCCCATTACTTGCAGAAAAGAAGTCAATACGAAAGTATAACTTCATCAAACAAGCCAGTTAAGAAGAAATAGGAGAACATTTTAATTAGCATATCATTAAGGATAATTACAAGGTTATTCAGTTATCACATTTGCGCCCGAAAATTTCAATATCCTTGGCATTTGCGCCACTTTCAATTCCGTATACATCTCCAAAAACACTCATTCCAGGATATTCTCGACATTTTCTCGTCTTCAAATAACCAACCAATACCCCATTTGCTGTGATCAATGGTCGTCCATCTGTGGCACCGTTGCATATCTGTCTATTGGTCAGAATCCCTTGCGAGCAACCCCTGCAAGGTCTGCTCCCCCATTTCTCAATCGTCACTGTATCCGAATCTTTTCTGTCCCATCCCACCGAATAAAACTCAGATACATTTGGCATTTTATACTTGGGAAGAACTTTTACATTCTGTTCTTTATTTTCATTGAAATCAAAAACAGTGTCTACCTTGAGGTATTGCAAATCTTTTAATTCTCCACTTGAACCTCTTCCTAAGCCTACAACTTCTCTTATGCTACCTCCATGGGACCATAATGTAGTTCCAGAACGTATCTTCAGTTTGGTCCATTGCCGCGATTCTGTTACACAGGTTCTACTGACTACCACCCATTTTTGGGATACTATAAACCCAACACAAGCAAACTTCAAACGCATTATGTCATCTCCGTATTCAGGTAAAAGGGCAAAAACAAGGTACGGCACTGATCTATCGATCAAACAGTTGAAATGATTGAAAAGCCTTTCTTCTGATTTATATTTCACTGCAACAAAAGACACATATAGAAAACTAAAGAATGAAAGCTTGCGGGTGCAAATACCTGAAGGATGTTTCAACAATGCTGTTCTGTTTAAATTTGAAAATCCTTTCATTCCTTCCACTGTAAAAAATATCGATTTCTTCGAGTAACATTTGCAAGCCTTTGCAATTTCTTTTTCCGTTTTTCCTGCTCCATTGACGTAATCGTCATATCTTATGTGTTTCGGTAGCATAAAGCCAATGCATACCGCCATTGAGATTGCCAATAACAATAAAATTATATTTACGACACACAGTACCGTTTCCTGACGTGAGAGATGAGTCATTTTCGATTTCTTATTTATGATGTCTTATTTTATGACAGTTCTCGTGACAAGGATAGTGAATTGAGAGTTGTCAAGATGATGTTGACCAGTTTACTTATTGAAAGCAAGTAATACTGGTAGTAACGTATTCAATTCAAAATTGAGATTTACTCAAGAACGGTTTTGTTTAGTTTTACACCTATCTAGCGTTTAAGTCTTGTGATTACTCTCGGGTATTATCCGATTAAACTCAAATCTACTCAGTTTCAGTAAAAGAATAAACCGGCAGTGTCTATAATGATTTTAAAACGATTGAATTTAATGTTTCACTAAATTCTCGTATTAATAAAATCGTAGAATGCTTCTTACTAAATAATTCTTGGATTTCAGTTAACGTAATTATTGTCATTGAAATTTTTGGCATAATATTTAAGATTAAGTCATAGATTAAAACTATTTTAGTACTGTTTAATAAAAACAATTTAATAACACTTTCTAATATTCTTGACACCCTAGGAAAGAATTCGGCTCCGTCTCAATCTATTTACAAATCTATAGAGAGCTTTTGTCAAAATTTGCTTTTGTAATCTAAATGCCTTATATTCATTTAGTTTATTTTCAAGATTTACAAGTAATTTAGTGAAATATGCTGGTACCATAACCATGCTTGTTACCTAAATACAGTCGAACCTGGATAAGTGAGAGCTCAAAGGACCGCGATCTGTTTTTCTATTATAGAGGTTTCTCACTAACCCGAGTTTCTAGCTTACAGATAGAGGTCTATAAAAATACGGTTTGACAACACATTGAGTTTTCGTTTAGACATTATGAGGAAGTACATGACCTTTATTCGCAACTGCTTTTATGAACTGACTGTAATAAGATTGATAAACAAGTCTCTTGAAATTTAAAAACGAGTCATAAAATAGCAAAAGTACACTGTAGCTCATAGAGGTATAGACAAGTAGCAATCTCATTTAAAGAGGTTCACGCATGAAAAATGACTGTCACTTATACAGGTTTTATATTTCTCACTTATAGAGGCTTTAGAAGGGCAAAATGACGAGACCTGCCAATACTCTCATTAATACAGTTTCCTCGCTTACTCAGTTCTCACTTATCCAGGTTCAACTGTATATTGTTCATCGTCATCGAAGGGTCATGAACCCTTAGACACTCCACTGCGTTTTATTCTAAACCAATCTTGGCATTTCCCCAAACCTGCAAACTTCCTACGTTCATAACTATTTGTGAATAGTAACCTAATAGGTCTACTTCGACCCCTCTTAACTCCTGTTTCTGTTTCAAATATGTCTCTAATTCTCCCTTTATGTCTGAAAAGATGTCCTACCAACCTATTTTGTCTATTTCTTATTGACGTTTCCAACTTTTTCTTTTTGGTCTCTCCACCAACCCCATTTTATACCCGTACAGAGCCTCATCTTTAACTGGCTCATAGTTATTGCTGTTATTTTTTTTTAATTAGAAATGGGTTTCTGTGTCGATGAGTCGTAGTTCAGGAAATGTAGATGCATTACATTGATTATGTCATTTAGAGAATTGGACGTCGACTAATAAACAAAAAACAACAGACCTGCATAATAACGTGTCAATAGAATCGAAAAAGTTGTAGTAGATCTCGTGCTGCTGTTCGCTGGTGCTGCTCGACGCTGTTGTACTCTGACTGTTGTTACGGCGGATAAAAAAAAATTACACGAGGTTCGTGACGGGCGTTACCCCGGCAATCCTGCATGTTAACCATTGTAAAGTACAAAAGCGGTGTATACGGAGGTATTATAGGAACGGGACGCCTTTACGGTATTTCGCCGTTCGCGGCTAAAAATGATTAAGATCGTGATCGTGGCACACTGAGACTTGTCGCTGAATTCCTCCACTTTTTTTTTTGCTATACCGATTTGCTCCGCTTGTTCCACATTTCCGCTTTTTAACGCCAGAGTTCACTTCAGTTACATACAATAAATAATCGCCCACGCAATTGGGCAATAAATAAGGTCACAAATTCCCAGTTGTATTTATATTCTCTCCTGTTCGACCTTACGATATACCGTACATGTGCACCTTCCCATTTGCGTACCTACGTATGAACATACGTACCCAATGCTACGTAACGTAATGTAATCAAACGTCGGCATAACTCGTCGCGATTTATTGTTATTAAATGTCATTCGGGCGACATTAATGTAACTAGAGACTACTGAGATATTGTGTGGAATGCAGCAGTGATGTTCACTTCTAAATCTCAACTGAAACATTCGCCAAAGTCCAAAGGTACAGGGTAATTTTCGCAGGGATGCCTTTATTTAATTCACTTTCATTCCTCAAGGCCCATTATAGCCATTAAATGTAAACCCGTCAAAATCGTTTTAAGTACGAAAATGGACCGTTTTCATGAAAATTATCACAAAAATTCTTGTAGATTTTTATTATAATTAAGTTTATACTATAAAACCTTTTAACTTCCAATTCACCGTTCAACGTTTTAATTTTATGTAATGTCGTCATCTTAGATTTCAAATACAAATGTAGCAACAACATTTCATCCTTAAGGGTTGATTTTTAAAAATTGCCAAAACACGTATTTGCTTAATTTCAGCAATGAGCATCCTTCGAGTAAATCCGAGTACAAATAAAATGTAGCCCATGGAAACGTTGCAACCTCTTTTCATTTGATTAATAAAATCAAACAGCATGTCTACCAAGTTTCAAGTAAATAAAACCACAAATAAAGTTTGTGCCAAACAAAAATTGCAACACCTTTTCACTTCGTCTCTCCCTTTGGAGGTTAATTTTTTTTTTAATTTCGAGATTTCAAATGAGAGACCATTAACCAAGTTTCAAGTAAATCTGACCACAAATAATATATGTTCCATTTAAACATTGCAACTCCTCTTCACCACTCATCCCCCCCAACAGAGATTGAATTTTTTAATCAGTTTCAAGTAAATCGGACCAAAAACAAACATGCAATCTTTGCAAACCCCTTCAGCTTCCTAAAGGGGTAGAATTGTGTAAAATGTTGAAATAGGTATTTATGTCACTAATTTTATATGAAAAGGCATTAAAGCTAAGTTTCAGGTAAATCTGATTATAAATAAAACACCATAGGTACTTAACCATAGACAACAGTACGTTTTGCTGTCAGTTACGTTTTGTCATTCCATGTCAGTTGCGTTTTCTTATATCACAATTTTTTTTCCACGGGAACGGGATAATATCCTATGTCCTTCTCCTGGTTATAACCTACCTCCCCACCAATTTTCAGCCAAATCGGTTCAGCCGTTCTTGAGTTATAAATAGTGTAACTAAAATGACTTTCTTTTATATATATATATTTTTATACATATATATGTAGAATAAATTATAGTAGATTATTTGTATTTAACCCTATTTTATGTATCTATATTTTGTTAATAGCATATTCGTCTTTTCAAAAACCGACAATCCATGTACTCCTGTCATGCATTGAAATTCCTTGAACCTCATCGGACTCATTGAAATAAATCGTTACGATCTTACATATCTTGATATTTTTTCCGGGTTATAACTGGAGCTTTTGCTTCACATTACGCACTACAATGCAAATAAGAAACACTATATCATTCGTTGATTCATTTGAATAGGATTTCGATTCGAAATATTGTTGCTCAATCGATTTATAGCGGCTGACTCGCTCCGAACCAGTCAGAAGAAATTTTATTTCTCTTATTGACAATGATTGATAACAAGGTTATACTAATCCACCTAATTAAAGAGCAATATCAAGGTAGCGGTGTTTTGCAATAACCGCGGCGTTATTACGCATTACATTATAGACTCCGTAACCACGGGAGTAGTTCGGTCTCACTGTTGACTTATCCTTTTTTTTTGTTACAACATTTCACCAACCAATTTTCCTTATTAAAGATAAAAAGATAATGTAGCGTGAAATTTGATTGAGCTTTTACATAAAACGATTGCAAGAGAAGGTGGCGTTTTTCATAGCTTTACGCACGCTTCTTACATAAATCCGATAAATCTAGAAAATACCATTCTAACGCAAGTTAATTAGTATCGATTTTAAACGACAGCATATTTCACCCATAAATTTACTTAGTTTTCTAAAGGAAGAAAGTAATAAAATAATTCGAAGTGGTCTTTAATTCTGTCGAGACTGCCAGACGCGGACCGCGATTTCGATCTTTTTGGATCTCATCAGCGTATGGTAACGTGCCTATTACGTTGAGGTTAGCTACGCCGGGATTCGTTTCAGCAAGTAGATATCCGTACATTTAAATGGACCTTGTTGAAGCATACGTAATCCTTAAATTTTAGCATCGTACTACAGATGGCGTTTACCGCGCCATTTGTGGTATTTTCTAAAACGCGCTGTTAAGAAAGCAGGTAAAAGTTGGTCTGTGTTCTGTCGGAGCTGCCTGCTACGAGCTGATGAGATCCAAAAAGATCGAATTAGTTTATTCGGTTATGGTAACGTGCCTATCACGTTGAGGTTAGTTACGCCGGGGTTCGTTTCAGCAAGTAGATATTCACACAAGTGGACCTTGTTGGAGCATACGTAATCCTAAAATGTAGCATCGTACTTCAGATGGCGTTTACCGCGCCATTTGTGGTATTTTCGAAGAAAATAATGTTCAATATTGATTGATTGATTTATAAAGTTGTCTAATACTTACCAACAGGAGCATTCAAAATTATCAAAACACAGTAAAAAATATTTCATCCTTTATTCACAAAATCAATATAAACTTTTTTTTCTTAATAGTTGTCGAATAGTTTCACTTTCATTTTTTGTGATTCAAAAGCAATTTTTTACTGTTTCGACAATATTAAAAGTAAGCCAAGGATCTGAAGGCAGTAAAATGATTCTCTTTATTGTTTATAATGTCCTCTATTGTATAATAAATTATTATTATTATTATTTATAACTTCGGCGGACAATTAATTACTGTTTGTCTTTGGATGTTTTTAAACAATGTTCACCTTTTTTTGTTATTTTGTGTTACGTATTCCTGGCCTTAGAAAGTGTGTTT